TGAGTTGGGTTCTACTCACAGCAACTCTGCTGTACAGGGTTTCTGAGGAGCTGCTGGTGAATTTGAGCCTCCAACCTTAGGTTCAAATTGACCTTTTGGTCTAGCGCTTATCCTACAGCACCACAGGGAGTTTAAAACCAAACCAAAAAAATAAAAACAGACCAGACGTAAGACAGGACCTTAGCTGACCTGTGCACTTACCCCTAGGGAGATGGATAATGTCATTTTCACTAGGTGTGGGCCACAGAGGGACCTCCGGGTCAATCTCTCCACGATGATTTGTCTTCTCAATGGGTACGTTGGTTGGCTCTGGGACATACATTTCTAAAAGAAAGTACATGCGTCATAAAAGATGGTGAAGCTACCTTACTGTATCTTACTTCGTTGGCTTTTATAGCCTCAATTCAATATGTCCTGGGACACGAAAAACCCAGGTGGAATACATAACATTCAAAAAAACACAAAAAAAAAACTACCAAGTTTTTCTCCTCTACCAGGGTTATGCAAGGTGGTGGGTACTGGCTGAAATGAAAAATATTCTTATAATTGACATCAGCTAAATATTGCACTTACTGTTTTCCTATAAAATGTGGGTGAATGATTTATGTAAACTATGTCAGCAGGTTAAAGCATCTTTCACTTTTCATGTGTTCCAATCCACCTCCTCTCTCTTGCCCTAACTGGATCATATAGGCACTTAAACCAACAACATAGTACACCATGAAACAGAACTGTCTTGGAAAAATAATACTCATTCCAAAGAGCAGGTCTTTCAATTCCAAACCTCCATTGTAAAAACTTAGGGTTCTCCTAAGTTCATATAAACATACATCTAAGGAGCACGAGTAGTGTGGTGGATTATGAGCTCAGCAGTTTAAATCTGTCGCTCCATGGAGAAAGATGAGGCTTTCTGCTCCATAAAGATTTAGTCTCAAAAACCCTATGCAGGGTTTTTATGAGTCAGAACCGACTCAGTGGCATACCACCACCTTACTACATGCAGCCGCATTTTTCAAGAAATAAGTCTTAAGCAACTCTATTTTCAAAATGTGACAAAAAGTCAGCATCAATCATGCGTCTCCTCTTGGCCATATTAATAGATTTTTTTTTAACCAGGTTAGGGAGCTCCGTGGTTCTATGGGATAAGCACTGGACTGCGAACCACAAGGTCAGTGGTTCAAGCCCACCAGTTGCTCCGCGGTAGAGATGAGGCTTCGGAAACCCTACACAACAGGGCTAATTTAGAATAAAATAAGTTATATAACTTTTAAAAAATTAAGCATGTCTTCTGTTTAAGATGATCATTGTCTATACCAAAGCCATCAGCCTTTCAAGAATTTGAGGAAGGGTGAAAATAAGTGAGAAGAGAAGGTGAAATCTTGTTAAGCTTCCACTGTGAGAACTGAGTACTTAGCAAGCGAAATAAACTCCGGGAGATTAAATAACTTCCCCAAAATTATGTATCTAGTAACTGGCAGAGCTGGCACGCAGATCAGTTGTTTCCAAAGTCCACTTACCTGATGTCTCCGAAAACAACCTCTCTTTAGCCTTATTTCCATTATAAAACCTTTAGACAAGAACTAGAAGCAATTAGAGTTTTCAAAGGTTCAGTGATTTCCTGCAAACTCTACAATCAAACTTTTCTATCATATCAAAATTATCTGAAAAGCTTGTAAAAAACGTGCTGACTTCTATAAGTAGGTGATTTCAGTGTGTGCTGGGAATGGTGAGTGTGAAGGCCCAGGGTGGTGGTTAGTCACCCATAGAAAACCCCAGAAATGCAGCATGAATTTTCTGGATGAACTTGGGAAGAAAAACCACTTTAGACTGGATCTTTCAGTGCTAGTTCCTTACTACCTTGCCTCTCTTCTGCACAGTCCAGCCCACAGCTTTCAGCCTTCCTGTTAACACTGGTCTCGGGGGCCTCAATGTGAAGGCTAATGTGAGGTATGGGCTGCCAACACTGTGAAAGTCTACAGCTCTGTACCATAGATCTCCCGAGGCCCAGAACCGGGATCAATTCAGTTCCACCTCAGATTTCTTCCTGGCTGTAAAACAACTTTGAAGCTTGTATCTCATGCCTGCAGACTGGGTATATTTCAAGTGAAGCCCCACCACAAAGCAGGAGTTCCAAGTTTAGTTTTTCCCTACAAGCACTGACACATGTTCTACTTGACAATAGTGTAAAAACTTAGGAGCTGGCAGGCAGGAGGAAAGAGGCTGTCTTCTTGAGTAATTACTGATTCATTCAACAAGTACTTCCTGGGCGGGCACTTACTATATGGTGGGACCTGGTCTAAAATTTTAGAGCTACAACAACATACCCCATCTTCACAGAACAGGAGGGGGCTTCAAGAATCTCCATATTCTTTTTATTTCATTTGTCCATGAACTTTTTGGAACCCCCTTGTATTCACAACTCCTGTCTAGAACAATTTTGCCCCAAAGGAGAATACTTCCAGCGAAAACAACAACCATAAAACCTGATTAAAACAACAACAAGAAGTGGGGATGCTACTGACATTGTAGCTAAACACAGTCAGGAGAAAGACAACAAAACCCTACCCAGCAAAGCCAGGTAGAGCAGACTTACAGACTGAAGGAGGTTTTACTTCCTTAAATTGTGTCCTTTCTCGGCTCTGATTACAAAATACTTGACTTTGTACAATTAACATAATTTTTTGAGCCTCAGTTCCTTCTCCTGTAAAACAGATCAAGCACTACCTGTCTCAAAACTTTGTACTTACATCTAAAGATGTGACTGAAAAGTTGGTGGTTCAAACTCACCAGCCACTCCTTGGAAACCCTATATAGGGTTGCTCTGAGTTGGACCAACTTGATGGCACTTAACATCTGACTAAAAGGTTGACAGTTTGAACCCATACTGAGGCTCCTCAGAAGAAAGGCAGGCCTGGTAATCTTTTGCCAAAAGAAGAAAGCAAAAAAACAAAAAACAAAAACAGCTGCTAAAAACCTGAGCGTGCAGTTCTATTCTGCCCACATTTGGGTCTTCATGTATCAGAACTGACTTCTGGGTTGTTTATTAAGAACCTTAGTGTCCACAGAGCAAGACTCCTGTTTGTTGGACCACCTAGCAGAATTCCACAATCATTTTATTGGTCTTCCCTGGTGTTTCTAGGAGGTGGCTTAAGCCTGACACTTTAGTTAGAAATCCCAACTGTGGTCACACTGCGTGCCAATGAGCGAAGGGCCAAGATCCCAGCCTCCTTGGCAGGTGGCACCCAATCAGACAGAAGGTGGCAAAAGCTCTGCAGACTAAAAAGCTCTAAATTTGCTTAGAGATCAGATGAAGTGACGCAGCAATAATGCTCCAGAGGTAGAAGGCACAGTATATAAACAGGAATTAAATTTCACCCCAACAGTAAACCCCGAGACATCCCTAGTGATGAACACTGATGTTAGCACTATCTGCATACTCTCTCAGTTAACTGGGACACCAGCTCTGAGGAACTGCTCAGGTGAATTTGCACCCCGGCCCCTGGCCCTGAGTTTGGGTTTTACTATCACTCACCTGGGACAAATGCATTGCACTGTAGGGGTCCTGGCCTCACCTCTTCCTGCTTTAGTGCCCCCTGCACACTCCCCTGTTTAATACCTTTATGACTGTGCCATGCCACGGCTCAACATGATCCTTCTGTGCTGCCTGCTACAGACCAGATCCATATTCTTCGCTTGATAATATTTTTGTTGTGAAGTGCCTTCGAATAGGTTTCTGACTCATAGTGATCCTATATAGGGTCTCTGAAGCTGTAAATCTTTGAGGGAACAGAAAGCCTCATCTTTTTCCCCTGAAGTAGCTGGTGGGCTCAAACCACTGACCTAGTGGTTCACAGTCTAATTCTCTAGGCTTTTTAATTGTTAAGTGCTGTTGAGTCGGTTCTGACTCACACTGACCCGTATAGGGTTTCCATGGAGCAGCTGGTGAGCTTGAACCTCAGACTTAATACTATAGTGCTATACCAGGACTCTAAGGAGCTCTGGTAGCGTAGTGGTTACAAATCGGGCTGCGAACCGTAAGGTCAGCAGTTCGAAACTACCAGCGGTTCCGCGGGAGAAAAATGAGGCTTTCTGCTCCCGTAAAGATTTACGGCCTCGGAAACCCCTGTACAGGGTGGCTCTGAGTCAGAACTGACTCCACCGCACAACAACAACATACCAGGACTGTAGCTAGATAACTAAGGCCCTACAAATCCTGGCACAAACCAGCTTTTCTGTCCTTACCTCCTATTACTACAAGATTCTGCTCCAGGGTCATTTGGCCTTTACCTTTCCTATCTGGGCTCTTTGATAGCCTGCCTTTCCTTGAAGGTTTAGCCCAGATAGATTCCTTCTCTGCAAAGACCTCCAAGGTCACTCTGATGCTGTTAAGGAGTGACTAGTAAGTTTGCATTTCCGACCTTGCAGTCCATTGTTTATCATACAGTGCCACACTTCCGACCTTGCAGTCCATTGTTTATCATACAGTGCCACACACTAAGACCACTGTACTTCCTGGTACAATCTTGCTTTTGAACTCTGTACTGATGATCTGTACGTGAGTTGTAGGATTATTGCCTCCATTTCCTCCTTTTCCATTCGCTCCTGAAATCACTCTAATTAGACTTTGCTGCCACCACTGAACTGAAACCGCTCTTACCAAGGTGATTATGACAATCCTAAATTAAATGCTTCATCTTCATTTCTCATCTCGTGACCTACCTCAATTCAGCAAATGACAGCCTCTTACTTGAAACCCTTTCTCCCCTTGGCTTCCTGGGCACGGAATCACTTAGCTTTTCTCCCGTTTGGTGGGTCCTCCCTCTTGGCTTCCTTTGTTAGTCCCGCCTTCCTACCCAGCTTCCAAAGTTAAAGGGTCTCAGGGCTCAGTCCTAGGTACTCTGTTCCCCTGCATCTCTGAGAGAATGTCAAAACATTTGTAGAAAAAGTTACATTACCCAAACTGACAACAAGGAGCTCTGGTAGTGGTTACGAAACAGGCTGCTAACCTTAGGGTGGGCACTTCAAAATGACCAGCTGTTTCTTGGGAGAAAGATGAAGCTTTCTGCTCCCGTGAAGATTTATAATCTCAGAAACCGTGTGCAGGGTCACTATGAGTCGAAACCGGCTCCAGGGCACATAACCACAGTAACATAGCTGACAACGATCAAATTTAGAGATCTATTTCCACTCTTTCTCCTGAACTCCAGACTTTCATAATCCGTTGCCTACTCATTATCTCCATTTGTTTGTCTAATGATATTTCAAATACAAATGTTTCCAAACTAAGCTGATTTCACTCCCAGCGCTGTAACTCCAGGGTTTTAGTCCAAAATCTTTAGTCGTCCTGAGCTCTACTTTTCCTCTGACTCCCACACCAAATAAAATCCTATTGAATCTACCCTTACAGTCTAACCAGAATCCACCCACTTTCAGCACCTCGACAGTTGCCATCCTCATCTCTAACCTGAACTATCATAAAGGTGTCTGAACTGGTCCTCCATGCTTCTTTTAGCATCAAATGCAATCCAGTTAAAACTAAGGCACATCACATCACCCCTCTGCTCAAAACCCTGCGAGCTTTTATCTCCCAACTCAATAAAACCCTTACAACCACTTAAGAGATCCTGTCTCTTGGCCCACAGCTATCTTCACCTTATCTCCATCCCCAAGGCCTTCTTTCTGCTTTTCCTGAGTATGCAGAGCATGCTAGCACCTTGGGGCTTTTACCCTGGCTACTCCCCTCATTCCCAGGATGCCTGCAATTCTTATGCTTCTTTTTAGGAAAACCTTATCAGTCAGTGAGACTTCCTGACCATCCTCTATAAACAAAATTACCTGTCCTACTTCTCTCTGGAGTCCTGGTGTGGTGTTGCAGGCTAATGGGCTGGACTGCAAGGTCAGTTTGAGTGGCAAGGTTGGTGGTTCAAGCAAACCAGCCACTCCTTGGAAACCCTATGAGTCAGAACCAACAGATGGCACTTAACTTCTCTCTACCCCCCCCTTGTCAGATCATGTGTTTCTCCACAGGTCTTCTGACTATTTTTGGTACTGTTTATTCACTATTTGGTTTATCCACTAATATATCCCTAGTGGAGTCCTGGACTGCAAAGTCAGTTTAAACCACAAAGTTGGTGGCTATGCTCACCAGCTGCTCCTTGGAAACCCTATACAGGGTTGCTACGGGTAGGAACCAACTTGACGGCACTTCACAACAACGATCTATCCCTAGTGCTTAGAACGGGCCGGACGTGACACACAAAACACAAACCACACTGCTGTCTAGTCAATTCCAACTCACAGCAACCCTACAGGTGAGAGTTACGTTTCCTGTAGGCTGTAAATCTTACAGAAGCAGACTAACATTCTCCCATACAGCAGCTGCTGGGTTCGAATCACTGAACTCTAGGTTAGGAGTCAAGCAGTTTAACCTTTGCACCATGAAGCACTACATGATTCTTTGCTGAACAAGTATGAGTGAAACCCGATGTATGTCAACTTTCACGGTTTACCTCATTAAAAGCGTATTCTTAAGAAGACTGGTGTGGAATTTTATAACACAGGACGTAGGTCCTAGATGAAACAACTAATAGGAAATCACGTATTTCTTCTTCTTCCACTACATCTTAAAAAAGGAATGAGAATAAGTAACGAAGAACGGCAGAAGACACAGAGAAAAACCAGAGCAATTCTAGCACAAATCCGAGGTTTGACACGTGGTGGTCAGTTTTCTAAGTTACTCTGAAGTGTTGACACATGAAGACTTTAGCTGAGTCCACCACACAGCCTAGGCAATGTGAGGTAATAGATGGGTGGAAGAGGTCTGCTCTCGTTCCACCATTTTAAAATTTTATTTTACGGTGTTTGAGACTAAACACAACAAAGCATACGCCCATTCAGCCATTCCTTCTGTTCAGTTCAGTGGCACGGATGATGACATTCTCTGACTTGTGCAATCATGCTTCCTTACCTTCATTTTCTGAGCTGCCAACCCCCCAGTAACATAAACCTTGCTGCTGTCATTGTGAAGTGCCATGGAGCTGGTTATGACTCATAGCAATCCTGTATAAGGTTTCTAAGGAGTAGTTGGTGAGTTTGAACTGCCAACCTTGTGGTGAGCAGTCCAGTGCTGCTTACAGCGCCAAACCTGGACTAGTTCTAAAACATAATGCTCCAGGCAGACGTTCTTGACCAGTTAAGCTAACTTACCACACAGTTCCACTTGCCATTGTTGTTGTTAAGTGCCGTCGATTCTGACCCATAGCGACCCTGTATAGGGTTTCCAAGGAGCGGCTGGTGAACTTGAACAGCCAACCTTGCAGTTCAAAGAGCTTTGCAGTCTGGCGCATTAACCCACAGTGCCACACCAGCACTCCACTTGCCATTAGTCAACAGCAAATGAAACACCTGTTATTTGGTTTTAAAAGGATTTCAGGGTATATTTTTAGTTTAAGGTTTAAGGATTCAGGACAACAGTTGCAGGGGTTTTCTGTTGTCATGGGGCAGAAAATCTGGATTCCATGAGAATCTGAAATTCTGTTCTTTGTGTCCTCCTTTGGACTAGGATTCTTGTATAGAATCTTTGATCCAAATATTCAGTAATGGTAGCCATGCACTGTATCTAGTTCTTCTGGTGACATGGCAAAGGAGGCAACTGTTCCTGGAGGCAATTAGCCACACACTCTATGTCCTCCTCCTATTCCTACATCTCCTCCTTCCTCTGTTGCAGTAGGTGAACCAATTGTTGCTCCTTAGATAACTATTTGCCTGCTCTAAGACTCCAGGGACTGTATCTACTTTCATCTTAAATCAGTATTACGACTACCAACATGGCAGGATGAAGGTTTAGATACCTGGACACATTGGGCAGCAACTTCCCTCCACGTTGATGGGCTCAACACAGGGCAGAGGGGGGCAGCTGACAGTTGAGCAAAGCGTCTGGCCCTGCAGGCAGTAGCAGTGTGTGCAGCTGTCGATGTCCCAGCGCTCCTCATCGGCATAGGCCTTCCCGCTGAAGTGGCACACCACCTTCTTCGGGATTGTGTCCTCTAGTCAATGGAAAAGCACATAGGACAGTTGCCTGAGTGTCGACAGTATCAAGGACACTTGAGAATAAATAAATAAATAAATAAATAAAGGCAAACACCCTTATCCAATCACAATATGCATTTGGCTTTCCAGATTTTGGCAAAGTTTGTTTCCTCTGCCCAGGTGACTCTTCAGAACTCTACACCAGTGGCCTAAACCCAACCTAGGTTCAGTAAGGCTGACATAGGGCAGGAATGACATCCCAATGGATAAGGGCTTTCATTGTAAAATTTTAAAATTCAGTCGTTTATGGCTGGGTAAATATATGTCAAAACAAATATAAACAGGTAGGGATGTGTTAGATTATGTTCTATAAGGAAAGAATTAAAAAGTACAGCTAAGTATATTTACAAAGATGGCTTCCAGAAATTCCTTTTAATCTTGCCAATGATATGGGGCAGAGTAAGGACCACATATGGAAATATCATAGGGAAGTAGGAATTTTCCTCTGAGTTGGAACAATTTCCTTGCAATCATTATTTTTTTCATTTCCCACTAATGCTGAATGGATTTCTCGTATATCAGTGAAGACAGACACTTCTACTTTTCAAAATAAACTGTTTCACTTACATCCATATTTTGGGCAAAATATAGTTTCGGATAACAAAATAATTATAAGAGCTATTTCACTGATAAGAATTCACAGCTTAAAACAGCTCTTTCCCCCACATTCTTCCTTGCCCTCTTTTTTTCCCCTCTCTCCCAGCCTCTTCCTCTTCAAATGCTCCTGATTTGTCTGAACTCACTAGGATCTATAGTTCCTTTGGAGTTCCTTTGGAGTTCCAGCAATGGTGTTTAGAGTGGTGCCCAAGTGACCAATTGTTCCAGTAGTAAAGCAGACATGGGGCAACACTGGGTAGGGGAGTGTTGGGAACTTCTCTGATATTGAAAAGACCAAAAACTAGAGGGCTCTTACTAATGTGGAGATATTATATGCTCAGATTCTAAAGACAGTTCCACTTTTGGTCAACAGTAAATGGAAAACTGTAATGGAATCTGGAAGGAAAATTCCTTAACAGAGATGATGACCAGTGGTACGTTCAGAATTCTTTTTGAATGGCATCTGGGAAGCGCTTGCAGGGTCAATGGTCACTTCATAGACTAAAGGACAGCGTCCAGAATGCCCGAGGTGCAATGAGATCCATGTAAGCGCAGGACATGAGGAACCTTTTCCTCCCAGCAGCCCCAACCTCTGCAGCTGAGTGCAGCCTTCTAGGAAGACCCTGGAATAAAGCTTTGGGATGACCTTTCCCAGAGTGGGATCACAGATGGAAATGGATAGGTCTGTCTTTGGGCTCCACATTCTCTTCCCACCATGACTCAAACCTATGCGCTGTATTAAATGACACTGATAGTGTACTATGACCATAATATTTTGTATTTCCATAGAAAGAAGTCTTCATCCACTGCAGTGTGAGTAAACAAGCAGAGGAAGGAATCCATGGTCAAGTGTTAAAATACATAATCTTTCTGTTTTTCAACATTCCCCCACTGTTTTTCTTATTATTGCTGTCCAAGGTTCAATAAGAGCCCACTGAGTAATCATGGGAAAGTCTACTTATTAATGGAAAATCTTTCTCAGTACCTATTAAAATATGTTCTTCACAATATCTGTAAATTTTCATATAGAAAGTTTGCTGATACACTAACCATTAGACCAAAAAAAACCCAAAAAACTCATTAGAGGCTTTAAAACCAAACCCACAGTGGAAGCTTTTCCATATAATGATTCCTAAAAAGAGATGACAACTTCATTAAGAAATCTAAAAGATAAATCTCAAATGGCTAAACAGAAAAATCCAATGAGCTAATTATAATTAGTGCTTTGACCTTCGGCCAACATTTCATGATAGACATCAGATTTAACCATCAAATCTAGTCTATTGTACCAGAGAATTCTTTGTGAAAGGAAGCCTTTCTTCATAAAGCAGTATTACACATTAGATTTTATATAAACCTTGCAATGGCTCACACATTGGACCACTATCACTGTATGAAATTTGTGTGAAATATCTGCGTTAAAGGAAATTAGAACAAAAACCGTTCAACTCCTCTCCCCATCTAGTCCATCACCTTGCACTGAGTCTTTCCTTTTAGAAGCCCTTTGGCTGGTCCACTTCTTGGAAGAGAGGATGGAGGGGATGAAGGTATTAATACACAGAAGACAAGGGGATGGAGGAAAAGGTTCGAATCAAGGCCAAGCCTTGATCTGTATTTTCTTAAGATCTAAGCAAAGATGCACACTGCACTGGGGAACGTGTTTAATTAATGAATACTGTGAGGCGCTAAGGGTAAATGCACTGGACTGCAACATCGGTTAGAACCACAAAGTGGTTCAGGCTCACCAGCCGCTTCTTGGAACCCCTATACAGGGTCGCTATGAGTCGGAACTGACTCCACAGTACTTAATAACAACAACAATTTATGTTGATGAGGTTAAAATTATGTATTAAAATTAGGTTAGGTTGAGATGTTAAAAAATTTCAGATTAAACATTATGAACATTAATTCATTCAACACATACTTATCATTCATGCAAAAGGCATTACCTTAAGCTAGAGGACCGCACAGAATTGGTGGAGATAGGCAATGTGTAGCAGAAGACCTACTAAGGCACAATGGAATAACTACTGCTAATGTGAATTAACACGGAGCTGGACAACACTACTTACTCTGGTGGGACATGAGGGAAGGCTTCACCTGGGATGTGATGTCTAAGTTTTACCCTTGAGGGATGAGGAGAAAGTGAAGAAGAAGGTGCTAAAGAACGTGCTATGTTCAGTGGCTTGGCATACTGGAAGGATGTACGTGGAGACAGGGATTGGAGACTGTTGGGAGTGAGTTTAGGACTGAACTGTAAAAGATCTCAGATAACAACTGCAAATTTTAACTCTTTCCTATAAAAGAGGGAGCCTTATCATAGTTTTGCTGTTAAGAAAATAATGTTAGACCTTGAGAATAAAGAGGGCTGAATGGGGTATGAAATCCTGGTGTGGTGTGGTGGGTTAATGCGCTGGACTACAAAGTCAGTTTGAATCACAAGATAGGCAGTTCAAGCTCACCTCAGAAAACCTATACAGGGTTTTGGAACTGACTCTATAGCACTTAACAACAACAACAACTACCAATTGAGTATGCAATATGGAGGTGTTATCCATAGGGATATGAGGTGGGTTTAGCCTAAGGAAGTGTTAATGGAGATGGAAAGGAAATGTTAAATTTGAGCGATCTGAGAACTGCCAGGATGTGACAGTAAGGAGAAGAAGGTATGAAGAACAACTGTCTCTAGCCTGGGAGACTGTGTCAGACCTTACTGAATTGCTTCAGCTAGTCCAGTGGAACAGCCAGAGAGAGAGTGGTTGCCTCTCAAATGGCTGTGACGCCATTGTAGGGTAGAAGTGACGCAGGGCACATCAAGAGAAGGGAACCTGAGATTTTCATTTCCTGAAAGTGACTGGTAGGAAAGCCCCAGTGGTGAGGGTGTGGAGCAACAGATAAAACTGACAGAACTCATAGACCTTTGGAGTCCTGATCTGGCACTATAGGACAAGCTTTGGGCTTCGAGGTCAGTTTGAACTGCAAAGTTGGTGGTTCAAACTCACCAACTGCTCCACAAGAATCCTATACCGCATTGATGAGTTGGAACTGACTCGATGGTACTTAACAACAACATTATATATCTTCAATAATTTCATTTAATAATTTCATTTCTAGAAATGAATGTCAGGCAATAGTCCTGAAAGGCCTAAAATGATTTGTATATATACCTGTTTATCATATTATTTAAGACAAATAAATTGAGGGACAAATAAAACAACCTGTATCCAACAATAAAGGAATATTTAAGTAAGTCATGTGACACAGTCATGTGAGAGAATACTATGTAGCTATTAAAATGTATGAAAGAGAAAAGATACACATTTTTATGTGAAGTCTGAACTCAAGTATCTAAAAAGTAAAATTTAAAAGACAGCTGGCTAAGAAGAAAATGTTAAGAGTGATTGTTAGGATCAATGGTGAATTTTAATGCTTTTTTTAAAAAAAGTTTTTATATTTACAATGCTTTTCTTAAAAAAACCAAAACAAAATAAACTTGTTACTCTTAAAAATGTGCAAAAAATCTCTTTGTATGTTCTTTCTCTCTCACACACATACACACAAGACACTGAAGGGAAGAGTTTAGTCCAAGGCTGGTTCTAAAGACCTTGATCATACAGCATGGTGATGCCGACTCGTTTAGAAAAACCTTAACAGACTGCAAGAAAACTAAACTGTGGAAAAATGCCAAAGACCAAAGAGGGAGCTACAGCATAACACAGTGGTTATGTAACTACTCATTCAGTAATTGTATGAGATCACTGTCTAAAAGAATATTTATGAAATGATAGAAGAAGATGAGCAATTATTCTGAATGCCTTGGAGGCAATGGGTTTAACCGAGAGCTTTTGACTATCAGGTGAAACTAAAGTTTCTCATTTAATTTTAGTAATAAAATAAATCCTTAGCTAAATTCAATGAGGCTTGAACATTCAGCGTAGCACAATGATGAAGTACCAGTGGAACCCACTGAAGTGATGGCTGCAGGGAAAGCCTGTGCAGGATTCGGGAGTGGAGTCAGGCTCACTTAGAGTCTATAAACTTCAGCAGTCACAGTGAAGCTCTTTTCCTTCAGTACACACACAAGCTAGGGTAACCACAAACCTCACTTCCAGGTATTCCACCAGCTTCTCTCTGCTCCCACCCAGCTATGCTCAACACTATTACCTCAGAAGCAAAACTTCAGTCCATTTCCAAATGAGCTGACTCACACCTGAGAGCAGGAGGCTACCTAATAGGTTTAACAAATGGAGGAAGGAGCATAGAGACAGATGCAAATCAATCACTTGTTTAAAAAGCACTGGCTGAAAGAACAAGCTGCTTGATAAAGGGACAATTTGTCCATTAAAAGACCTTATACAGG